GATGTAGAAGCTGCTTTGAAATATGCAGAAGATGAAGCAGATTACATGGCACTGAAGAAAGTTGAACAGGAAGAGGCTGTCGACAACCAGGAGTTTACAGAGGAAGCCATGAGCAAAGTGGAAGATGATGAGTTTGTAAATGAGGATGATATGAAGGCTGATGAGTCAGCTGATCAGGGTGGATTAATGACAGCTTCAATTAAAGATAATGGGCTGATATTAAATGGGGGTGGTCCTATTGAAGAGAAAGCTCTCACTTTTGCTGGCAAAGAAGAGGATGTTGATATGCTGGCTGATGTCAAGCAGATGGCAGCAGCTGCTGCAGCAGCAGGACAAGCTATCTCATCCTTGGAGAATCAATTAAGACCAATTGATCGATATGCAATCCGTTTTCTGGAATTATGGGATCCCCTCATAGACAAGGGAGCAACGGAATCTGAAGCTAGATTTGAGGAGGCAGAATGGGAACTTGATCGCATTGAGAAGTACAAGGAGGAAATGGAAGCTGAGATTGATGACGATGAGGAACCTCTAGTGTATGAGAGTAAGTGTTTTTTCACTGATTGTTAACTTTTTTGGCATGACATGTTATCTTATTATGAGAAGCAATAAGCTTTTATGGTTTTTTAAATTTTAAGATCAGTTGTAAATTAAGGTTCCATTTGTTTTATGCTTTTGCTTTTTGCTTTTTGCTTTTTGCTTCTTTTGCAAAAAAATAAATAGAAAGGAAAAAGCAAAAAATAAAAAATCAATAGAATACCAAAGACAAATAGAAAAAGGCAAATGCATAAACCAAATCGAGCCTAAGTGAATTACATGATTTGCTTTTATATAATTCTTCCCTAACATGACACTATTTTTATGGCTCATTTCATTTTCACTTAGTGTGTTGAAAATACTTGAACTTATGAAAAGTAAATAAAGTTATGATGTTAGTTGTGCCTATCCTGAAGTTAATGCCATGTTATCAACTGTTTTCAGAATGGGATGCTGATTTTGCTACAGAAGCATATCGACAGCAGGTTGCTTTGGCGCAACATCAGGTTAGCGAACCTCTGCATATAGCCATTTACATTATTATTATCGTTTGTGTATGGTTCATTTAGGTGGTTAACTTTTTTTTTTTTTAATTTGTACTTTGCAGTTAATGGAAGAACTGGAATATGAAGCCAAAGAGAAGGAAGAGGCAGATGATGGGAATTTTGATGCTATGTAAGATGTCTTAACTCTTAAAACCAAAACTTTTCAGCTAGCTGTTCTCTTCTCTCTCTCTGTCTCTTTCTCTCTCTATTTTTTCTCCCACTTGATAATTTGAAGATGCTTATTCATTTGATACATTAAGTAGTACAAAAACCATCTACAAGTGCATTATTTAGTGATCCTAATCTGGAAAATGTGAGGCTTCAAATAGATGCTCTAACTGTGGGCAAAATTTTCATATTTTTTGTAGCTTCTTAATTTTACTAGGTCAATATTCTGCTTCTTGCTGAATGACAAATGATAATTTATAGAAATTTCATCAGTGCCTTTATGACCTTGAGAGATTAGGATTGCTAGGATTTAGAATGAATTGCCTGATTTTGGTGCCTTAAGGCAGTAGTTGTTGCTGTAAAAATGAGATGGGAAAATCTTAGTTACAAATGATTTTTGGATGTTAGATTAGCTAAAACATATTGTCTTTATGAATTTATAATCTATCTAGGACTTGGGGATGGATCACAACATTCTTTAAAGATGAAAGATAACAAGGTGATGTCAAACCAGTATACCCGAAAATTAAGGAATTCATGTTACTTAAATTGAGATGTAGATCTTCTAAAGGAAGAGAGTTGAGTCCTTATTTATTCTTGGCTTTAGAACAAAATTTCAATGTTAACCAGCTATCTGTTTACAGGAATGAGATGGTAAGTGAACCTAAACCAAAATCTAAGAAGAAGAAGAAGCCAAAGAAAGCCAAATTTAAATCTCTGAAGAAGGGATCTTTAAGTTCTGAAGTGAAACCTGCAAAAGAAGAGCCAAAAGCAGAACCTATGTCCCTCGATGATGATGTTAACTCACATGAAGAGCTCTCTTATTCGGATATTGCATCACCATCTTATCATGTGCCGAAAAAACGTAAGAAGGTTGAGATAGGGCATGATGCCGAAGAAGGGAAGAGCACTAAGAAGAAGCCTAAAAAACTAAAGAAACCTCCTGACCTACGTCCTGTAGACTGGGATCCAAATGCAATTCGTAAGAGGAATGATGACTGTGCAGAGGTAAAACCATGTGAGAGCCTTGCGGTTGAGTTTGAGCAGAAACCTGCTAGCAGGAGTAAAACAGGAGGAAAAATTTCCATTACTTCCATGCCTGTAAAGCGAGTCTTAATGATAAAACCAGAGAAATTGAAGAAGGGTAATATTTGGTCAAGAGATTGTGTTCCATCACCTGATTCTTGGTTGCCGCAGGAGGATGCTATATTATGTGCAGTTGTGCATGAATATGGCCCTCATTGGAGTTTGGTTAGTGAAACACTCTACAGCATGACTGCTGGTGGCTTTTACAGGGGAAGATATCGCCATCCAGTTCATTGTTGTGAGAGGTACCGGGAACTAATTCAACGACATATTTTGGCTGCACCAGACAGTTCAGTTAATGAAAAATTCAGCAATGCAGGCTCTGGAAAAGCTCTTCTCAAAGTAACAGAGGTATGCCTCATCTACTGCTTGTTCTTTCTCAAATGTTGGTCAAAAAAGGATAAAAGGGACAAAAATAGGGGAAAAATTGATGCAAATGCTCATTTATTGGTCTGACTTGTAAATTTTTAAAATTTTCCTTATGTAAGGTTGTGCCTTCCCATTTGTAAGCAACCATAGGAGATTGACTATAGTGATTCTGACTAATAGCTTAGAACTTCTTTAGTCAGCTGGACATTAGTTCATCTACTCGAAGACTTTTAGTGATTGCTTAGGCTAGCATTATTCCAATGTGAGGTAAAGCCTGATGTCTTGACTAAAGAGGGCTTGAATAAACTACGAACAAGCATTTAGGTTGATTTAATTAAATAAACCTTCACCTCTTTGGCTGCCTGTTGAAATCCTTTTCATGCAATTTGTGCACGGTGCTGTATTCTAGATAGGTTATTAAAAATTTAAATTTGCTTTCGACCAAATAATTTTCAGCATTGTATCCTTGATTGGTGCTTTTTTTTCTGTTTTACGGCAAAGTCATTCCCGTTTCAGGCCGCTTTACATGACACATTCATCCTCAATATTCTCCTTTAAGCAATACTAATTGTATTTATGTTTTTTTCGGCCAAAGAAGAAGGAAATCCCCTCATTTAACTGCAATACATTTCTCCAGTCTCCTCCAGATTGCTCCTAGGAGTATCCTGAACGATTTTGCATCATTAGTTTTCATGTTTTTACCTTACTGTGCTGTGTGCATTCCGACTCATCTTATGTAGCCTTAAATGTGAGAACTCTAATCCACTCTATGGTTCCCTATTACTAGGTTTGGTTTCTTCTACCAAGACTATGATAGTTTACATATAATGTGTTCTCGGAGTTTTATTGTTTCTAATTGTCTAATATGGTACCCGCTGCCCAGCTGCTTTCTGGAACAAATTCTGAGTCACCACACTTGCTACCCTATCCTCCCCTTTTTGTCCCCTATTTACCAGTGTTTTAGGGCTGATGTTCTAGAAGCAAGTCTTCTGAATTTACTGCTTCGTGTATGTGCATGCTGTGATGTTGTGGTGTAGTATTTTACTATAACTATTAATTAATGATGATTGCTGAAGCAATTTTGGTATGATAGTAAATGAATAAAGAAGCCTTACTTGTAATAATATATCATGGCAGGATAACATTCGAATGCTGTTAAACTTTGCTGCTGGGCAGCCAGATCATGAGTTACTAGTTCAAAAGCACTTCACTGCCTTACTTTCGTCTGTATGGAGGGTGAAGTCTCGCCCTGAGAATCGACAAAATGTCTCATCATCTCGGAATGGTGTTCGTTTAGGGGGAAGGTTCCTCAGTCCTTTTCTGAGCCACACACCTCAGGGTTCTGCAAAGGAACCAGCACAGAGGATGAAATTTACAAATTTGCAGGAGTGTAGCAAGTTGTTATCAGCTGCACTCCATGATGCCAGTAATAGACAGCGGAGTGACACAGTTTCCTCCTCTGATAGGAGAGAGGATTCTTCCGTCATTGCGGAAAGTTTAGAGATAACACTGGAAATACAGGAGAGTGGTGACTCTATGATTTCTTTCCCACCAGTAATAAATTTATCAATATATGGTTCAGATCTTGTTACATCTAGAAACGAGACTGCTGGAGAAGACCTCCATCTCAAAGCTTCAAAAGTTGCTGCTGAGAACCGGTCTAGGTATGGCAACATGTTTCAATTACTAATTATCATGCTTGGTAGTGAATTATTGGCTAGGTATTATTGTTGTTAGTCTGAAGGAGGCATTTTCCTTGTGAATGTCTTGCATGTTAGTTTATATTATAGCTGTAATTATTAGATTCCACATTGAGATGAGAAAGACATGAGATTCAGGTCATGGTCTTGGAGGGCGTGGTGTCTTGTACTGGTCAAATAAATTACTCATGCCTAGATTTATATTGTCGACATTTGTGAGTGTGCCTGGATAAAAGCTTGTTGATTGCTAACCAAGCGGGACATCTTTTTCTCAGGGCAGCAGCTAGGGCTTGTGTTGGAGTGGTCTGGCTTGGGCTTCATCTGCCTTCCCAGCAAATGATTCCAAGTCGCGGTCAGGGTCGAAATTGCAGTCTTTGGGGAAGCACAAGCTGTCTGTCTCTGACACAATAAGACCTAAATCAAAACTGAAGAAGGCTTCAATGGAGCATGGTGATGTACACAACTTACATCCAGAGCAAGGGTTCCAGCCAGTGGCAACAATTGCTCCGAATGATCCCAACTTAAGATGTGACCTGACATCTGTGACCAATGACAGCAGTTCGGCTGATGTTGTTGATAGCGATTTTGTTGCAGCATGGATGAGGCCCTTTCACTGGAATCAGAGGGTTATGAAGTGGTCCCACATAATTATATCCCCGGATTTATTTCAGGCCTGGATGATTGTTCGATGCTCCCAGACTATACTGACATTGGGTAAGGTTAATCCGATTGCTCTAAATTGCTTGATGTTCTTGGTTGAAGCTTTATTACGATCGATGGAGCTCAAAGTGATTCTTTGAGCAAGCCAGATCCTCGGCGCGGGGTACACTGTCAATTGGATCACCATTTTTGGATGCCGTATGAGGAGGGGAGTGGCTACACAGGTTTGCTTGTTCACGCTCCAAAACTCAATTTAACATTTTTAGGCAAGGAGAGAGTGGGCAGAAGGAAGCCAGCCAAGGACGTCTACCCACCCACATCACTGCTGATGAATTTGTCTCCATTGCCAGAGGATCCAATTAGGTGAAGTGAATATAGAAAACGTAGCACTAATTTTTTGTAATTAATTAATTAATTAATTAGCTAGCGGGACAACTTGGGCTTCGGTTGGGCATTTTGTATTACAGATTTTGGCACATAGAAAGGTAGTTCTAGTTATTATAAAATGGGAAACGTTCTCGGCAGTTCCTCGCAAGTCTCTGCTCCACTTCTACTAATTCCAGCAACCCAATAATATTACTGGCTGATCGCTCCCATGCATCCAACAAGTTGAAATACGTGCGAAAATAAAATCCCCCTTAAAACATTTGCTTTTCATTTAATAGTGTTATTTTTTTTTTAAATAGGATAAAAGACTTTTATCACTTTTAACTTTTAATCATAATTTAACACAGTTTATTAATATATGAAATGAACATTTCATTTTAAAGGATAAGTATGAAATGTTTAAAATAATTTTTTTTCTACTCGTCTTCATTATCTTTTTTCTCTCAAGTTGGCCGGTGGCATTCCCTTCCCTTGGATCACTCTACACTCTACGGTTGAATTTAGTCATGGAATGTTAGATTTGGATTTGAAACGTGAGATCCGTGCTTTTTTGGGAGATCTGAATCTGATCGGGTGGAATCGACAAGTTAAAAATAGAAATTTATTATTTATATTGTTTGATAATTTTTAAAATTAATAAAAGATAAAATTATTTAAAAAATATTATTACGTTATCAAATTAATAAATATATTAACAGTTAATTAACAGTGAGATTTATATGTGCAATTAAAGATATTTTTTTTAGACGGATTGTCTATTTTGAATATTAATAAACTCACGTAAAATTATAATTAAAAATTAAAAAATTAAAATATTTTATCATTTTAAATATTATCTTTTTAAATTTAAAAATATTTAAAAATACTAAATCTTGTAATTTTATAATTTAAACAAGAAATTTAAAAATATTTTGAGTACTCTATCCCATCACATGTACATCGTTTATTTGCTATCCTTGTTATAATTTTCTAAAAGTTTCATTATCTTATAATCTCAAATTTATCTTCTTATTTTCTCTGTTACTCATTTCTTAAACAAATTTAATAAAATCTTTGAATTATTCAAAAAATTTTAAATAAATATTTATTTTTTTTTGTAATGAATTAAAAATTTTATTTTAAATAAAATAAATTTTGTATAAAAAATTTTAAAATCAACAATTCTTCTTCGTCCCAATTAGCTTTTGTTGCACGGAATGTTAGCATAGCTATGGTATAGGGACCTTGTTACTATGGTAGACCATCTCACGCCCGTGTTATGAGACTTATTATAGACCAATTCATGGTAGTTAGGGCATCTCTCCCAAATCAATCATTTCAAATTCTTCCATTGACTTGATCTTAATCAATTAAACCAGTAAGCAGTATATCATCAACATACAAGGAGATGCTTACCTTAACAGAATCTGCATGACTGCATACATACAACATAGGCTCATTTTAACTCCTTTGAAAACCTTTAGTAGTGAGAAATGAGCGTCATACTAGACCCTTAGAGCTTGTTTTAACCCATACAAAGCTTTCACCAGTTTGCAGACTTTACCTTCAGTCCCTAGTTTGGTGAATCTTTCTGGTTGATGAATGTAAATATCCTCAGCAATATAACCATTCAAAAAAGCAGATTTCACATCAAGATGCCAGATCTTCCAACATTCTCGAGCAACTAAAGCAGTTAATAGTCTTATAGTGTCATGCTTTGCCACTAAAGCAAAGGTGTCCCAATAATCCACACCATAAATCTAAGAGTATCCTTTCACTACAAGCCTTGCCTTGAACTTGTTCACTGTTCCATCAGCATTAAGCTTTGTCTTGTAGATCCATTTTATCCCAATTACACGCTGATTAGTTGATTTGTCCGCCAATAACCAAGTTCCATTTTTCTCAAATCATCCACATTTCTTGTTTCATAGCTTGCACCCACCTGATGTCTTTTTCAATTTCTACATCATTAGTAGGTTCACACATAACAACATTACACCCAGCATAGATATCTTGTAAGGACCTTGTACCTCTTACTGCAAGCCTTTCATCCTCTAAGTCCTCTTCTGAATCACCTTCACTCTTAACATCATCATGGCTAAAATTGTATCTATCAATACTCAACACTAGACTTCTCCCAATCCCACATTGAATTCTCATCAAATCTAATATCCCTACTCACAAAATTCTTCTTTGTCTCCACATTATACAACTTGTAACCTTTTGTAATTGCACTGTAGCCAATATGAATAGCTACAATACTTTTTTCATCTAATTTAGTTCTTCTAACGTCTGTGACCTTTGCATAACATACATTACCAAAAATCTTCAAATCATTGACTGATGGTTTATAACCAAACTAGTTCTCATAAGGAGTCTTACCCGACACAGCCCTCGTAGGGAGTTAACTGTGTTAACAGCTTCTGCCAAAATGTCTTTGGTAACTTTTTTTGAAATAAAAGACATCTACCCATTTCCATATGTGTTTTGTTTTTCCTCTCGGATACTCCATTTTGTTGAGGGCTGTAGGTAGCAGTTAATTAATGAGTAATACCAAGCTAAACTAGATAATCTTCAAACTCAGCAATTGTAAATTCTTTTCCATTATCAGGTCTAAGGGTTTTATGGAAGCACTTACCTAATTTTCAACCAACTTTCTGAACTTCACAAAATTCTTGAAAGCATCAAACTTAGATTTCAAGAAGAGCAACCAACAAAACCTTGTAACATTATCAATAAACAACAAATAGTACCTGCTACCCCCAAGTGACTCAGTTTTCATAGGTCTTCCAAGTCAGAATGGATGAGTTGCAACTTGTCAGTAGCCTTCCACCTCCTTTCTTTTGGAAATGAAGTCCTGCTTTGCTTGCCAAACTAACATGTTCTACATAACCGTTTAGGCTTGGTTATCTTTGGTAAGCCTTCAACAAACTGTTGAAAAGGCATGTTCTGCAAAGAGTTGTAGTTAACATGGCTTAACCTCCTATGCCACAGTTCTGATTCATCAACAACATTAAAATAAGCTTTATGCTCAACATGCTTCCAGTCAATTGGAAAGTATTTGTTCTCATTTCAACTGTTAATACTACATCGAATATAGTGTAGCTCCTGTCCTTGAATAAGAAAGCATAATGACTCTCAATAAGTTGTCCACCACTAAGCAAATTTTGGTTAGACTCGAGAACAAAAGACATTTGAGATATACTTGTTACCTGATTGAGTTTCAACAATAATAATCCCTATACCAGGTATCTTTAAAATTGCTCCATTGCCAATCTCAACTCTGGACCCATAACTTCTATCTAGTGTAGCAAACTGACTCTCATCATTAGTTATATTATTTGAGCAAGCATTGTCAATCAACCGTAAATTCTTCTTGACAGATTCACCAACTTCTCTAGCCATGAATAAGACTTCATCAAATTCTTAACTTGCTCAGTTTCCTTCTCATTAGACTTAGAACCTTTGTTTTTACACACCTTTTCAATATGACCAAGTTGATTACAGGCCTTACATTTTACATTAGATCTGTACCAACAAAATTTTGCAAAATGTGTGATTTTCTTAGTGAGGGCAAGGTTGATACTTCTACTTTTGTTTACCAGATTTACAATCTACCACTTTTTTATCCCTATCCTTCCTTTCAGCTTCATTCTTTCTTGTGCTGTTACTACTAACTGTGAGATTCCTAGTTTGAGCAACCAAAGCACTATCAACCACATTTTCAGCCTAAATGGTTTTCTTTGTTCAAGGCCTTCCAGAGCATTCTCCAGCTCTTTTAAAGTAAACTGCCCAATATCCTTGGAATCTTCTAATGAAGAAATCTTGGACTCATATTTCTTTAGAAGACTCACAAGCGTCTTATGCACTAATCTTTCCTCTATCATAACCTTTCCTAACAGTCTCAATTGATTCATTAAGGCCATCATTTTTCAAAAAGCTCCCTAATGGTTTCATCATCTTCCATTCTAAGCATCTCAAATTATCTAAACAAATTTAAGGATGTCTTGTCTTATCACTACCAAAGAACTCATCCTTCTAAGCGATCACAGACCTCTTTAAGACTATCTAGATGCATATTCCTAGTAAAAATCTCATCAGAACAGCATATTGTAAGCGAGATAGAGCTTTGTCCTCTTAACTTTGTCTTTTTCAAACTGTCAAATTTGAGCAAGGGCAAGGTTAGCATGCTTTTGGATAAGGTCCTCTCCAATCTCCATTACCTCCCAAAGACAGTAAACTTTGAGATAAGATTTCATTTTCATAGACCAGATGGCATAGTTTTCACCAGTAAAGACTAGTAGAGTTGAATTGTTAAATTTGGTAGCCATGGAAAAAGAATAAACTCTAAAGGATGATCAAATGGCATGATTTTTTAAGAACAAAAGTAAAGGAAGTAATACCTTAAGACCCGTTGTGCTGCTCTGATACCATGTTGGAAACTCAGTAAATTCAGAAAGAAAAATGAAGATAAGCAAGGTCTCAATGAACAAAGAACAAAAGAAAAATTATCTGGAAGAGAAAAAGCTCCTTTTCATTAAGTAACAGAGGAATATATACAATGGAGGATAACCATTTTCGCAAGAACTAACTGTACACACATACCTGAGCTTATATCCTACATTTTGGGAGTATAGGGATTTGTGATAGATACCTTGACACATAACAGACACTAAGCCACCAAATATAATGGCTTAATTTAAAGAAAAAAGGTGATGAAATCCCTAACATTGGGAAGAATAGTAAATTGCAACGGTAACGAGAGTCAAGTAAATAAGAGACTGAGTAAATATAACTTGAGACCAAAACGACAGTAGACCAAGCTTAAAACGACAGCATCAACCTTCAATACAAGATAACACCTTATTAACTCTCTGCCTTGGTGCCAATTTCACCAAGTTGCACACCATTTCTCAACATAAATACTATTTCTTCCTCTTTGTTTTGGGTACCAAATGTAGTAATATGACTCCATCCCATGGAAAATGAATTGAATTGTTCCAACACAAGGAACCTTTAATGCAGCTTGTGCAAAACACCTTCCTCTTTGTAATTCAATGAGCTTACTTGATGCGGAGAACACCAGAACCAACATATGAACAATATTGAATAAATATTACGGATTAGTAATTTAAAAGTATACTGACAAGGACAGAGA